GTCAGTATAACGTGCGCATGCCATGAATCACGAGAGTAATTATGCACTCCGTAAGCTACAACGCAGCATGACATATGAACTTCAAAAGCAAGAAATGTTTATTACTCTTAATTTTGGTTTTATTTACTTATGAAACAGAACACTTCCGAGGACCCAGCGGAAATACATCTAGTATCCATGGTTACATTAAGTTAACCTGACATTATCAGGTACTACAACTGTCAGATTAACCTTGTGAATTATTCTCTGTATATCCGACAATAACAAAGTTTTACGATTTTCACAACAGGGTACTTCCTTTAATTATGTAATGTCGTAGTCCATTTTTCATCGAAGTAAGTGCATCATTATTACTGGTGCCCCCCAGTGGCACAGCGGTATGTCTGCGGACTTACAACGCTAGAATCCGGGTTTCGATACCCGTGGTGGGCAGAGCACAGATAGCCCATTGTGTAGCTTTGTGATTAATTACAAACAAACAAACAATTATTACTGGTTATGATGTTTGGAATAATTTGATTTAACATTATTATATATTATTATTAATATTTGCGCTTCTAGAAATTATTTAGCATCATATAGCTTAGTATTGGGATATAGAGCTAACCTAAATCTCCTAATCTTATTAAATATTACTCGGATTATAGGTGGAAGTGTTACTAACGGCGATAGTACCCAACTGTTGTATCATTCTAAACATTATACATTTGTTTTCTAGTATACCGATTTATTTACATTACTTCATTCTACTCAATATTGTCAGCTTCCTTATAACTTATCAACAATGATCTAAAACAGGAGGTTTACTTTAGGGGGTATAAAGTTTAATACATTGTGTTTCATAAATCAGTTATCACCATGTCGTGTTATAGAGAAATGAATACACGGAAATGTGTCATACAGTGATGTATTTCATTTATAGGGCTACTGGAATGGATACGACCCTTACGTTCACATGGGGAGTTCCAACGCTTTTCAAGCAGCAGCGTTTAGATTTGGGCACACTCACATTCAAGGAAAAGTCAGACGCTATAACAAGTACCACGAGTTTATTGGTAAAATCTTTCAGCACTTTTAAGTTAGTGACTTAAGCCAAAACCAATAATCAGAACTATGTAAAAGTTTTCATAATCCTGAATGTCATGGTATTGTATTCTATACTGTTACAGCTAGATACTTTTATCCATAATCAACTAATAGTTTAGATTTGATTTCTTCACTCGGGGTTTAATAAACACATCTGTCTGTGAGAGAGAAAATGAAAGAACTGAAGTAACACAAATTGTTTGCCAGTTGACCGGTGTCCAGTAGTTTTTCGAATGGCCAACTACTGACTAACTAACTGTCAGTTGGTCATTCAGATTTTCAATAGGAATTCGGCAGTTGGCCATTTGAATGGCCACTTGGTATTTGACCGCCAGTTGACCATGTGGATTATCAATAGTAAACTAAAAGTTGGACCATTGTAAATTTACTAATGACAGTGTTAATTTACTATTAACAATCCGAATGGTCAACAAGTAGCCAATTTCCCATTGGAATGATCATCTCTCAGTTTCCTATTGAAAATCCAAATGGTCAACTGGTAGCCAGTTACTGGTCATTCAAATATCCAACTGTACGTTTTTTATTAATAATCTGAATGGCCAACAATTAATTTGCCATTGACAGTCCAAATTGCAACTGATAACCAATTACCAGTTGGCCATTCAAAAGGCGAATAGCAACTAGCAAATGACATTTGTTTCCTGAGAAATGCGTGTTTAACGTGACGACTTCGTCTTTCGTAGGAGAAGATCCTCTCCGTTTTCTCCTTCAACAACCTTTCATTATCTACGAACCTGGAAAACTAGACGAACTTATCGGTGGCCTTATCAACACTCCTGCGCAAAGTTATGATCGGTTTATTACAAGGGAGGTATGTACTGGTGTTAATCTGGTATATTTATCTATTGATGAAATATTTCAGTAATAAATTATAAATCGAATCTCGTGATATACACGTTAAATTAGAATTGTGATGATTCACAGTTAGAATAAACTGGATGTTCCACATCATATTCTACGTCCAAAAAACATATACTTGTAGAAAAGAATTGGGCTTGATCTTACAATATGATAAACACATCAGAAACAGACTGTTTGTTCCGTGATAAAAAGAAGGTTAACGCTCTTGCTGTGTTATATTAAAAAAAAAGACTGGATTTTTCACAGTGAAAAAGCATTTGATGATACAAATAAGAAATAAGCTAGATGTTTTATATTGGAAACAGGTTTAACATTCCACACCTAACAAGTGTGTAATAGCCCACAACAGAAATGCCTTGGGTGTTCCATATCAGGAAGAGAATTAAAGTTCCACATTATAAATAGAAATAGGATTGATATTCCGCATTAAAAATAATCCGGAGGTTTGCATTAGCACAGATCTTCCACATTATGCTTAGACCTCGTATATCATGCTTTAAACACACTATCACTGAATGTAACTTAATATCAAATATATATCTTTTTTTTTTTAGGCATACTTAAAAAACAAAATGTTTATTTTTGTATTGTAGATAAGATCATAACCTTGTTGATAAACTTTGAATTTTTGTACCTATCTAGACAACAAGTTTGGTTAAGAATAATGCTTATTTAAGAAAGGTGTATTTCATAAGCTCAAAAATTCACCCTACTGTGATTTTAGGTCACGAACCACCTATTTGAGGAACCCCCAAATATGTTTGGGTTAGATCTGGTTTCTCTCAATATTATGCGAGGTCGAGAGACAGGAGTTCCATCGTATAATGAATACAGAGACTGGTGTGGAATGGGTAGAGCCAAGACGTTTGAAGACCTTGAACCTGTTCTAAGCAATGGAACAGCTTACAAGTACGCTCAGATTTACAAGTAAGTACAACCTATCTTTTGAAATAGAATAGCAATATATGCTGTCACATTAACAAGTACCTTAGCATCTTTACTAAGAGTTCAGTCGCTATTTTCCTTCACGTATAAAAGTTGATTATGTTATGTTGAGATTATTATAATGCTTCATCATGTCGTTACAGTGCAAGGTGCCAGGCTTGGTCATGCACTGTCTTACAATAAGCCATCTTCACAATAGTCCTGCAGCATAGTTTTCATTGCAAAAGTCTTCATTGTAAGGCCATCGTACCCGAACACACCACTACTTCCTGCATGTTTTCCATAATCCATCTAGTGAACAAGGATGGTGGTTTCCTAGTGCTTATTTCAACAGTCTGATCACATAGAAATTGGGACACTGCATCTGATGACCTGACTGGTATGTTTTTATATGAAATAGCATGAACACCCGTTTCATTTTCTGAATGCTTGAGGTATACAACAGTTGAATGGGAAATATGATTGTAAATCTTATCTTAGTGAATCCATATCTCATTTACAAAGAAAGCTACTTCTTGAATATGTTGCATGTTGTTACTTGGGGCACATGAAACGCTTTTGCCACTGCTCTTCGTGTCGTGGATTCTCACCTGTTACAAAACGATTCATTATGGTTACCAGGGCTGGGATACGACTTGATGCAGGTCCCTTTCTGACTAGTCATGGTGTCTTAAGTTGATCTACAATTCTTTGTTACAAAATATCATTAGATACAAGGGACATCTCCAGTTTGGAAATTGTAAATCCCCAATCTAGACACATTTTTATGATCTGAGTGTATTAATATTTTGCATCAGAAAGGACTATCACATACCTTTCCCAAAAATAATCAATTTTAGATGGCATCGCACAACCTACAAAATGCTAAAAAATGTCAAGTGTAGCAGCACTATTTTATATTGGCTGTGGCGGTAACAAAACTTATTGATTTACGTATTTAAATATAACGTACTCAAAATTCTTTACAACTGTATACAATATTAACTTACAAGAAAAGCAGCCATTAGATATACTTATATCTGTATAGCAGAACTATAATTAAATTCCATTTTATTCACGTTCTAGATAACATAATATATTGTAAATGAGTAATAATTTTAAATACAAACAATCTAGTACATGAGAAGGAGCCACAACAAAGCAAAAAAACGAAAATGTTTTATACAAAATACGTCTCCTCTAACAGGAAAAAAAGTATAATTAATTAAAAAGATAAAATTAACATAGATACATACACACAGAATTACAGCTTTCAATATATT